GCCAAGGCAGAGTTTCTTTTAGCTCACTGGGAAGTCAGAAAAAAGGAGGCCTTGGAGATAGGATCACAGGGTAAGCCTAGGTTGAGCTGCTGCTGCCTGCTGCTACCATGGCTGCAAGTCTCATGGGGACCCTTAGAGTTTAGGAGAAAGCAAAAAGTTCATGCCTGGGAAGGGGCATGGGATACTCTAGAGAGAGCCTGCACTGTCTTTGTCCTAAGGGCTTTTTATCTTTATTTTTTCTGTGGTGGAGAATCTTAGGAGAGAATTTCAGCAGAATATTTATCAGCTTCCCAGGTGCATTTTTAATGTGCTGTTGTTTCAAAATGAACACATGGGGCATTTTGAATTATTCTTTGGTCTGCTATTTTGTTTTACTTTTATCTTGAGTCTGGCTTTTAATGTTTTGTTGTTGTTGTTGTTTAGCTGGCACAAATGACATTAATTGGGTCTGTTCTTTATTTTCCCAGACCAGGGCGATTTAAGTATTCATTGGTTAGGGAGGGGTGGTATAAACCATTCACTCTCAAGTGTCCTTGGTTAGGGGAGATAAGGTCCTACGATTCACCAGTTGGTTGTAAGTTGCTCAAACTGTTTGGCCTTAATTTCCTTGTCTCAGTTTCCCTATTCCAGTTGCCAGGAATTTTCTTAGCTTTTTACTATCCTGTCACAGTGGAAACCCTAGCATCAGGAAACCATAGTTCCTTTGAGCTATTACTTAATTGTATTTTCAAACATTCTTATTGAAACCACTTTAATTTCTTAGGTTATCCTGTGATAATTGTCATCTTTGCTGTTGAATGTTCTTTTCCAAGAATATGATATGCTATTTACCTTAGTTTTATAGGGCTGCCATAAAAAAGTACCATAAACTGGGTGGATTAGAATAACAGAAATTTATTCTGCTATTTGTGAAGACTAGAAATACTAAATTAAGGTGTCAGAGGATTATGCTCCCTCTGAAACCTGTAGAAGGATACTTCCTTGCCCCTTTCTGCTTCTGGTAGCCCCAGAAATTGTTTTGGCTTGTTATGTAATAGCTCCAGTCTGTCTTTACCTTCACGTGGTATTCTTCCTGTGTTTCTGTTTCTTCATGTATTATTCTTTTTATAAGAACACCAGTCATTTTAATTTAGGGGTTACCCTAGTCAACTACAATGTCATCTTAACTTATTATATCTGCAATAACTCTATTTCTAAATAACTTCACATTCTGAGTTTCTGGGGTGCTAGGACTTCAACACATATTTTTTGGTGGGGGGGAAGGGGCACATAGTTCAACCCATGGCACGTCTTTATTTAAATTTGTGTATGGATTTTAAAGTTTCCTTATAATTTGGGGACCTTTCTAGTTAAATTTATTCTATATTTTTATGTTTTTATTGCATTTATAAGTGTAGTCTTCTGTTTTATTTTTGTAAATAGTTGTTTATATATATGAAGGTTATTGAAACTGAATATTTGCTATATATTGTGAATTTAGTGAGTTTATTTTATAATTATTTTTCAATTGACTCTCTTTGAAAATAATAAAAATAAAAGTTACAAGCTTATGTGAATCCTTAAATAAAAGTTAACATAATCATGTTAATTTGTTCTAGTCGTGAACATGGTATGTGCTTCCCGTTTTTCTATCTTCTTCAATTTCTTTCTTCAGTGTCTTCTAATTTTCTGAGTACAGGTCTTTTACATCTTTGGTTAGGTTTATTCCTAGGTATTTTTTTTTAAGCAATCGTGAATGGGATTGTTTTCTTAATCTCCCTTTCTATTAGTTATTGGCATATAAAAATGCAACTAATTTCTGAATATTGATTTTGTACCCTGCTACTTTGCTGAATTCATTTATCAGTTCTAGTAGTTTCTTGATGGAATCTTTGGTGTTCTCTATGTGCAATATCATGTCATCTGCAAATAAAGGCAGTTTTACTTCTTTCTTTCCAATTTGGATGACTCTTATTTCTCCTTCTCATTTGATTGCTGTGGGTGAAACCATAAAAATCCTAAAAGAAAACATAGGCAGCAAAATCTCGGATATTGCTCATAGAAATTGTTTAGTGAATATCTCTCCACAAGCAAGGGAAACAAAAGAAAAAATAAACAAATAGGACTTCATCAAACTAAAAAATTTTTGCACAACAAAGGAAATCATCAACAGATAAAAAGACAGCTCAGAGAATGGGAGAACATATTTGCTGGTACATCTGATAAGGGGTTAATATCCAAAACTTATAAAGTACTTACAAAACTCAATACCAAAAAAACAAACAACCCAATTAAAAAATGGGCAAAGGACTTGAATAGAGAGGTCTCCAAAGACAACATAGAGATGACCAGTAAACATATCAAAAGATGCTCAACATTACTAATCATCAGAGAAATACAAATAAAAACCACAGTGAGATACCATCTCACACCTGTCAGAATGGCTATCATCAATAAATCAAAAAACAGTAAGTGCTGGCAAAGATATGGAGGAAGGGGAACTCTTTTCCACTGTTGGTGGGAATGCAGACTAGTGCAGTCACTGTGGAAAGCAGTATGGAAATACCTCAAAAAATTAAAAATGGATCTGCCTTTTGACCCAGAGATCTCACTTCTGGGAATATATCTGAATGAACTAAAGTCACTAATTCAAAAGAAAATAAGCACCCCTATGTTCATTGCAGCATTATTTACCATCATCAAGATATGGAAGCAGTCCAAGTGTCCATCAGTTTATCAGTGGGTAAACAACTATGGCACATTTACACAATGGAATTCTACTTGAGAAAAACAGAAGAAAAATGTACCCTTTGCAACAGTATGGATGGACCTGGAGAACATTATGTTAAGTGAAATAAGCCAGTGAGAGAAAGACAAATACTGTATGATTTTACTCATGTGGAATCTAATGAACAAATGGAACTAACAAGCAAAACAGAGACAGACTGATAGATGGAAAACACATCTTCAGCTAGTGGGGCAGAAAGGTAGTGGGGTGGAGGGATCAAACAAAAAAATAAAAGGACTCATGGATGTGGACAACAGGGTGGTGATTTCTAGGGCAAGAGGTGTTTAAGGACACAAATGGTAATGGAAAAAATATAATAAATAGTATTTTAAAAAGGAAAAAAGTACATCTAGAATTTAAAAAGTTAAAATTTTAAAACTTTTAGTTTTATTTTCATTATAATGGGAATGATTTAATCATTAAAGTTTTTAATTGAGTTTATTTGGGTGACATTGGTTGACAAACATACAGGCTTTAAGTGTACATCTCAATGAAACATCTGCATACTGCATCATGTGACAGTCGCCCAAAGTAAAGTCTTTTTTTGTCCACATTTATCCCCCTTTTCATCTCCCTCAATCCCTTTTCCCTCTGGCTATCACCATACTGTTGTGTGTGTCTGTGTGTTTTATACATATTTTGCTTAGTATCTTCACCTTTTCTTCACCTAACCCTCCAACCTGGCTCCCCTCTCACAGCTGTCAGTCCGTTCTATGTATCTCTGCTTCTGTTTCTATTTTGTTTGCTAAATTATGTTGTTCATTAGATTCCACAGATAAGTGAGATCATATGGTATTTGTCTTTCTCTGACTGCCTTTACTTAGCATAATATTCTCCAGGTCCATCCATGTTGCTGCAAAAGGTAAGATTTGCTTCTTTTTTTCCTAAGGTAGAGTAGTATTACATTGTGTAAATATATCAAAGCTTTTTTTAATCCACTTAACCACTGATGGGTGCTTGGGCTGTTTTCATATCTTGGCTATTATAAATAATGCTCTAATGAACATAGGGGTACATATATTCTCAAAAATCAACTGACTCTTGATTTTGCAGGTAAATTGTTTTATTGTTGACAAATAATGTTAATTTTACCTTTGCTTTCCAACTTTGTACACTTTTTGTTTACTTAATTTACTATTCAGTACTGTAATGATAGTGGCATAGTACTCATCTTCCTCCTGACTTTAATGTGTATGCTTTGGGAATTTTCCCATTAACCATGGTGCTTTTGTTTAAGTTGTACTATACTTTATTTCTCAAGTTAAATAAAGCATCTCGCCCTGTTTTAAAGTTATTTTTAAATGAAATATAGATGCTGAGTTTTGTCATCTCTTTAATATTTTTGGAAATCATTACTTGATTTTTCCCTTTTGACCAATTTACTTATAGTAAATAATTTTTCTAATATGAAAACATGCTTATATTCCTGAAAAAAAAATCTACTCATGTGTGATATATCTTATATTTATTGTGCTTTCTGGGTTCTTTATTTTTCTTCTAGGTCATTGTGATATTTTATGTAGAATTTTTACCTTGAAATTCCTGAGTGAAATTGGTGTATAATTTGTTTTTTTATTGTCATCTTTGTCAGGTTTTGGTATTAATTTTGCTTGTTTCACACATACAAAAAAGTGGAAATTCTACTTTTTTCTTTTGTAACATTTTGCACAACATTAGTGTTGTCTCAAATATTTATTAAAATTCCATGTGAATCTATTTGTTTTGTTTTTAGGGAATTTCTTTTTATGTTTTTAGGGGATTTCTTTTTATGGAAATTAGCCTACTAGATTTTCTATATGGTTTAGAGTAATTTTTGTCATTTACATTTTCTAGGAAATTATTTATATCAAACAATGTGCAATAATGTATTTCAATAGAGTCCTGTCAATTTTATGATTTTACTTCCTGTCTCTTTTTTCTTTATTATTATTTCTTTATTTGTAAATTCTGCATATTTTATTTATTCAACAGTTAATCTGTTTTTTTCTCAGATGCCATTTAAAAGCAATTAAGTCTATTTGTATTCATAAATGTCTGCTTTTATTCATATTTACCTTCCTGAAATTTTCTAAAACTTAGAAAATAGGAGGTATATGTATTTGGAATTTGCTTAATAGTGGGAAACTAGGCCTTAAGCCATGAATCAATCCTATAATAGCATGTTTTTGAAATCTTCTTGCTATTATAATATTGGAAGAATTTATAAGTAATATTTATTTACATTCTGTTTTAGGAGAAATACGGAGAATTGATGACCATCAGAATATACAGGACAAACTTTTGACAGAACTTGAAGATAAGTTTATAAAAACACTGACTGAAGAAAAATTCAGTGAATGTGATAACAAATTTTCTGATTCGTTTTCTCCAAATTCAGACTTTTTTTCTTCTAGTCACAACTTTCATGACTATAACTTATTTGGAAAACGTCTAGAATGTAATTTTCACTGTCATAATAATGAGAGAATTCTTATAAGAAAGGAATACTGTGAATATAATGAACCTATAAAGTCATCTGGCAATAGCTTATCAAATCTTGTAGTAACCCCCTTTAAGTGTAATAATTGTGGAAAAGGATTTAGTCAAACCTTGGATCTCATCAGACACCTGAGAATTCATACTGGAGAGAAACCCTATGAATGTAAAAAATGTAGAAAAGCCTTTAGCCATAAGGAAAACTTCCTAAAACATCAGAAAATTCACAGTAGAGAACAATCTTATGAATGTAATAAATGTGAGAAAGCTTTCATTAAAGTGTCAAATCTCATTAGACATCAAAGAATTCATACTGGAGAAAAACCCTATGCATGTAAGGAATGTGGAAAATTCTTCAGTCAGAAATCAAATCTCATTGATCATGAAAAAACTCACACTGGAGAGAAACCTTATGAATGTGATGCATGCAGAAAAACATTCAGCCAGAAGCAAAGCCTCATTGCACACCAGAAAGTTCATACTAGGGAGAAACCTTATGCATGTAATGAATGTGGTAAAGCTTTCCCCCGAATTGCATCTCTTGCTCTTCATATGAGAAGTCATACAGGAGAAAAACCTTATAAATGTGATAAATGTGGAAAAGCCTTCTCTCAGTTTTCCATGCTTATTATACATATGAGAATTCATACAGGTGAGAAACCCTATGAATGTAAAGAATGTGGAAAATCCTTTTCTCAAAGCTCAGCCCTTACTGTACATATGAGGAGTCATACTGGTGAGAAACCCTATGAATGTAAGGAATGTGGAAAAGCCTTCAGCCACAAGAAAAACTTCATTACACACCAAAAGATTCATACTAGAGAGAAACCTTATGAATGTAATGAATGTGGGAAAGCATTTATTCAGATGTCAAATCTTGTTAGACACCACAGAATTCACACTGGAGAAAAACCCTATATATGTAAAGAATGTGGGAAAGCCTTTAGCCAGAAATCAAATCTCATTGCTCATGAAAAAATTCATTCTGGAGAGAAACCCTATAAATGTAATGAATGTGGTAAAGCCTTCAGCCAAAAGCAAAACTTTATTACACATCAGAAAGTTCACACTGGAGAGAAACCTTATGATTGTAATAAATGTGGCAAAGCCTTCTCTCAAATTGCATCCCTTACTCTTCATCTGAGAAGTCATACAGGGGAAAAACCCTATGAATGTGATAAATGTGGGAAATCCTTCTCTCAGTGCTCATTGCTTAATTTACATATGAGAAGTCATACAGGTGAGAAGCCTTATGTATGTAATGAATGTGGAAAAGCTTTCTCTCAAAGAACTTCCCTTATTGTACATATGAGAGGTCATACTGGTGAGAAACCCTATGAATGTAATAAATGTGGAAAAGCCTTCTCTCAAAGCTCATCCCTTACTATACATGTACGAGGTCATACAGGTGAGAAACCCTTTGACTGTAGTAAATGTGGAAAAGCCTTCTCTCAAATCTCGTCTCTTACACTTCATATGAGAAAACATACAGGTGAGAAGCCTTATCATTGTAATGAGTGTGGTAAGGCTTTCAGTCAAAAGTCACATCTTATTAGACACCAGAAAATTCATACTTACTAGAAATAGAAACCTTATGAATATTATAAATATGGAAATACCTTCAGAAGGAATTAGCACCTTCTAACATATTACATAATTGATTCTAGAGCTGAAAACTGTGATATGGGAAAGCTTTTGAAGAAGTCACACATTTGTGAAACATGAGAATTATTACCAAGGTTACAAATTGTGTAATGAAAAAGCTGATCATCCATAACTTTTAGCAGATATCATACCTATTGCTATTTATTAATCATTCACAGTAAAGCTTGAAACAAGTTATTTTCTGTCAGTTTATCAACATGTTACTTGAGCTCCTAACCAATATATTATCAAGAAAAAGATTCAAGGGAAGAAGAAACTATAAAAATAAACTTTTATATGAGAAATAATTAGAAAATGTGTTGATATAAAATTAGAAATATGTTCATATATACTTCAAATACTATGTCTAAGAATAGGCACAATGAATATATGTATCACATTTTGAAGAGCATAAGATAATGCTTAAATTTTAGAAAAATAACATGGAAAAGTCTTGGCATTATAAACAATATTTTTTTTACAAATCTCTAACATACTTGTAAAGTACTTCTACTCAGAGTTTTCATTAGTTATAATTTAAAAATTTTACAAACTGATTCAAAATTTTATATTGGAATGTAAAGTACTGTAAATAACTGAAGAAAATGTTACAAACAAACAGAAGACAGTCTACTAGATATCATATACTTTATTTAAAACTGCATCATTTAAACAGTGTGTTCTTGATGAGTAAGTCAGTAGGAAAAAAATGAGGATTGAAGGAAAAAGACATTTGGATTTTGTGTGTGACAGTGCTATGGAAATTATTGGAGAAAGAATGGCCTATTTGATAGTGGAAGATTCATATCAACAAAAAACATTAGCTCTCTATACCATATATAAAAGTAAAATTCAAGTAGATTAAAGGACAATATAAAAAGCAACATTCTAAAACTATGATGAAAATAGAATATATTTATTACTATAGAGTAACAGGAGTTTTAAAAACACACATAAATATGAAACAATTCTATTATGGTGTATTGTCATAGTAGCACCAATATATATGCACAAAGAGATATATGTGTTCACTCTATTATGCTTTGTATTACTATAAATTAGGCATAGCATAAATTTTTATGGTATAGAGATAGATCATTATGATGTGTTTATTTATTTGATATAATACAGTATTTACAGAATACAAATTTGACATAGTTGCCTGGATAGTTTACAACATAATAGGAGTAAAAAGCAAAATGTACAATGAAATATGATACATTTGTACAATATAATAAAATAATGCAAAGAATAGTACTGTGTATTGACCATGGATCCATATATTGCTGTGGTTTCTACTTGTAGGGAGTGGGAAAGGTATGGAGGGAGTAGTTACATTTACCTGTAATAGTTCTTAAAGAATGAAAGCAAATATAACAGTGGTAACAAATCTGGTTGTCAAAATTGTGTTGCTTTTTTTGGTATTATTTCTTGCTTTTGTTTATTACCTATTCTAAAAAATAAGTAGAGTTGATACAGGAAACCTGGGCCCATATAAATAATTTTTAAGTGGATTCTTATTTTTTATCAGATACTAACATTTAGAGAGTATTCCTTTTGCTAATACACAAACCAAACCTGAATTAAAATAATGCTTTGCTTACTGTGTCCTCATAATGTGAATTAAGATAATAAAAATTTGTTGTTCTCATCTAATTTTTAACTTAATTTTTATTTCAAATATTATTTTTTCTGAGTTGAAAGTAAAATAGCAAAAGAAATACTCAGTATTTGGGATAACTGACATTCTATTTCAGAAAAAAGTTGCATGCATTTGGGTTGGTTTCAGATTGAGGGGAAACATCATCCATGCATACTATAATATGTGATTAATGTTCTAACATGTCAAGCCCAAGGATAGTAACTCACATCAGAACAGAAGCAATTTCAATGTATCCAAAAAGTTGGATGGGTTAGGGGAGAGCAAAAGCAGAAAAATGAAAATAAATGTAGCTGAACAACAATAAAAAAAACAAAAACAAAATAAGGTTTCTTTGGTTTCTGGATCCTTAAATTAGGGTGCATATGCTAGTGATTTTATATATATCAGATAAGGGCCCAGTGGATGTGAAAGGTCATTACTACAGCTCTTTTATAATATATTGAGGACTTTTAAATATTTTTGGTCCTCAAATTTCCTTTTCTGTGAGTAGCCCATTCATATATTATGATTATATTTTTTCTACTGGGACTTTAAAAATGTTTAGATTTAGAACTAATCAATAAAACAAACAACCAAATACAACCAGAGACACTGAAATGAAGAACAAACTGGCAGTAACCAGAGAGGAAGGGGGAGAGGGGTAATCGGGGAAAATAGAGAAGGGGCCATCAAGGAACATGCATAAAGGACACATGGACAAAGTCAAAGAGGGTAGGTTTGAGGGTTGGAGGTGAAGGTGGGTGGGGCGGTGTAAGGAACTGCTTCACATGGCATGGACTTGTAGCTCAGCCTCCATGTGGAAAACCAGTGGGGGGAGAGTGGCATGCAGGATCACGCCCACAGAGAGATTTTCTTGTGGGGAATCAGGCCTGCATTGTACCTAGACTGCTATGAGACTTGCTTTTGCTAAAATTCCTTCACCCTGAATTGAGGCAGCAAGGTCTTACCACAACTTCCTAAAATCTGAGCTAATCCTCCCAAGTATGGTGTGTGACTGGTTCAACCACTTTTCCTCTTGGTCTGCAACATCCTTCTCTTTGAAGTAATTAGCAACATTCTTTCCTTTGTTATCTGTAAAAGGTAATCCCCTGCAGTGAACCTGTGCATAGTAAATGAGGACTACCCTCCATGTAATGTACCCAGAAAAGCAATAAAAGCCTGTCCAGGCAGGGACTGAGGTTTCTGGCCCTCTCGCCCTCTCTCCTAGAGAGTGGCCATGCCGTCCCTTTTTCTCCACAGGACTTCTGTAGTCCGTGTATATTTGTTCACAAGCAGCCACAACGTACACGGATCCTGCTGGCCAGGATCTGCCACAGGGTGAGGGCACAGTGGGGGGAAAATGGAGACAACTGTACCTGAACAAGAATGAAAAAAGTATAAAAATACAGAGGAATTTGACACAAAAAAAGGAGTATGGATTTATGGAAGTTATAGAAATAATATCCTTTGGTACTATTTAGTTGGTATGACTTACATCCCATTTTCTCTCTTGGTAATACCTTGTATAACTACAGTACAGTGTCAGCTTTGGCACTGGAATGATCCACAGACCTTATCATATTTCACTAGTTTTATATGCACTTGTGTATGTGTCCATGTAATTCTATATGATGTTATCTTATGAAATTTGTGTAACTACAATCACAATCAAGATATAGAACTTCTGACACCACAAAGACCCCTTGTTCTATCCCTTTGTAGTAACATCCAACCTTTCCTCTTTCTGCTTCCCACTCAACCCTGGCAACCACTAATTTATTCTTGATCATTTTGTCATGTCAAGAATGTTTTATAAATGGAAGTATACACTATATAACTATATAACCTTTTGAGATAGGCTTTTTACATTCAATATAATTCCCTTTAAATACATCCCACTTTTTCAGGTACAATAATTTGTTGCTCTGAAGAAGGTGGTTGTTTTTTTTTAATAATTTTCTATGGTATGGATAATTTTACTGTGGTTTCTTTAATTACTCAGCCACTGAATGAAATTTGGGTTTTTCCAGTTTGGGGACGTTACAAATAAAACAACTGTAAACATTTGTCCAACAATTTCACTTCTGAAAAGATATCCACAGGAAACAAACAAACAAAAATCTGTGGAAGAAATAACTGTACCTCCATGTTCATACTAGCATTTACACAATAACCAAGAAATGGAAAAAACCTAAGTATCCAATGAATGCAAGGATAAAAAAGAATGGATATAGAAAAATATTCAGCCATAAAAAAAAGGAAATTTTGCCATTTTCTGATATGAATGGACTTTGAGGGCATTATGTAAAGTGAGAAAAAGGCAAATATTTTGATATCACTTATATGTGGACTCTAAAATACGTGAAAAAACAAAGCTAATAGGAAAAAAAATATATTATATTCATGGTTACCAGAGGTGGGAATAAAGCAGGGGGAACTGGATGAAAGTGGTCAAAATATACAAACTTCCACTTAAAAGATAAATAAGTACTAGGGATGTGATGTATATCATAACTGCATTTTACTCTGCTATATTTAAAAGCTTTTAGAAGAGTAGATCCTCATAGTCCTCACTACAAACATTTTTTTTTAATTTCTCTTGTACCTACATGAGCTGATGAATGTTAACAAAACATATTGTGATAACCATTTCACAGTATGTATAATGCAAGTCATTATGTTGTATACCTTAAAAATACATAGTGCTGTATGATAATTATATCTCAATAAAACTACAGAGGTAAAATTCCAGTTTTCCAGTTAATAATCCAGGTAAGTATAGACATTTACAGTAGATATTTTAAGGTTCTTTATTTTAATTAAATTTATTGGGGTGACATTGGTTAATAGAATTATATGTTTCAAGTGTACTATTTTATGATATATGCTCTGTACATTGAAATGTGTACCTACCACTCAAACTCAAATCTTTTATTTATATGTATTTGACCCCTTTACTATACCTCCATCCTCCTACCCTCTGGTAACCACCATACTATAGTCTATTTTTTTCTTTTTCTTCTTTTTTATTGTTCAAGTATAATTGTCTCTATTTTTCCACCACCACTTTCCCCCACCCCGCCCCAACCTTCAATCCTTCCCGGCTTTGGCTTTGTCCATATGCCCTTTATACATGTTCCTCAACAACCCTTCCCTTTCTTTTGCCTGTTATCCCCCTCCTCCCTCCCTTCCTGTTATTGTCAGTTTGTTCTTTATTTCAATGTCTCTGGTCATATTTTGCTTGCTTGTTTGTTTTGTTGATTAGGTTACAACTATAGGTGAGATCATGTGGTATTTGTCTTTCACCACCTGGCTTGTTTCAGTTAGCATAATGCTCTCCAGTTCCATCCATGCTGCCATGAAGGCTAGGAGCTCCTTCTTTCTGCTGTGTAGTATTCCATTGTATAAATATACCACAGTTTTTTGATCCATTCATTTACTGATGGGCACTTAGGTTGCTTCCAGCACTTGGCTATTGTAAATTGTGCTGCTATGAACATTGGTGTGCATAGGTTCATTCGAATTGGTGTTTCAGGTTCCTTAGGGTATAATCCTAGCAGTGGAATTGCTGGGTCTGAAGGCAATTCCATTTTTAATTTTTTGAGGAAATTCCATACTGTATTTCACAGTGGCTGCACAAGTCTGCATTCCCACCAACACTGTACTAGGGTTTCTTTTTCTCCACAATCTTGCCTGCACTTATTGTTTGTTGGTTTGTTTATGATAACCATTCTGACCTGTGTGAAGTGGTATCTCATTGTGGTTTTAATTTGCAGCATCTTTTCATTTGTCTCTGGGCCCTCTGGAAATTCTACTTGGAGAAGAGTCTATTCAAGTCTTTTGCCCATTTTTTTTAAGTTGGATTGCTTGTCTTCCTGGATTGCAGTCATGAGAGTTCTTTATGTCTTTTGGAAATCAACCCTTGTCCAAGGTCTGATCAGCAAATATATTTTCCATAAATGACCCCATATAGCTTAAGCAATTTTGAGAAAGAAGAACAAAGTTGGAGGAATCACAATACCTGATATCAAACTCTATTCAAGACTACTGTAATCAAAGTACTCTTGTATTGGCATAAGGACAGACAAATAGATCAATGGAACAGAATAGAGAGCCTAGAAATAAACCCAAGTCCTATGGTCAATTAATATTTGTCAAAAGTGTTGAATTTATAAATGCTTTTCTGTATCAGATGAGATAATCATGTGGATTTTTCCCTCTGCTCTATTAATATAATGTATTACATTATTTTTTTTTCTTATTTTGAACAAGCCTTGTATTCCTGGGAGAAACCCTGCATTGGCATGCTGTAATGATCCTCATAATGTACTGTTTGATTTGGTTTGCTAGTATTTTGTTGTAAAGCTTTATTTCTATATCCATGAGGGATATTCATCTGCAGTTTTTATTTCTAGTATTTTCTGGTTTTGGTATCAGAATAATGATAGTTTCAAATAATGTTAGGAAGTATTCCTTCCTATTTCTTGGGAGAGTTTGACTAGGATTGGTATTAATTTTTCTTTAAATTCACTGGTGAACTTTTTGAGGAGTGTGGAACTGCTGATTTAATCTCTTGTTAGAGGTCTATTGAGATTTTTTATTCCTTAAGTTGTTAATATGAGTAAAGATTTGTATATTTGATCTAGATATTTAATTTGTTAGTGTACAGTGTTTGTAGTATTGCCTTATAATCCTTTTAATTTCTTTAAAATTGGTTTTGTCCCCATTTTCATTTCTGATTTTAGTTACTTACATCTCTCATTTTTCTTAAACACTTTGACTAAAAGTTGTCAATTTTGTTGATTTTTTCAAAGAACACTTTTTAAATTGCTTTTAAAGAAAGAAAGGAAGAGAGGAAACCGTAGATGTGAAAAAGAAACATTAATTGGTTACCTCCTGTATGCATCCAGACTGGGGATTATATGTGCCCAGGCCAAGGATTGAGCCAGGAA